TTGAAATTAGAAATAGGAAAGGAATGATCACCTTGATGAGATTGTATTAATAGGCCCCACAGTAGTCAGATGGACATTGACCAACATATATGTAGAGACATCTCAGACATATGTAAGGATAATAATGATGTTATACGTGATTTTAATTTTCCAAAGGTTGAGTGGTACTACACTAGTGTCAAAGGTTTGGATAGTGAAGAACTTGCTAATTGTGTTCAAGAAAATTTTCTTTAACATGTAAATATTCTTGGTAGAGATAGGAAAAAAAAAAAAACGTTTTCTTCAGTAATAGGTCAGGGCTAGTGATTGATATGATAGTCAGGAACACACTTTGGGTCTATGATTGTAATTCTATCAGCTTTAAATTAGTTATGAAAAAGATAATACTTCCTTGAAAGTTCACATTTTTAATTGAAGTAAGGCAAATATTAATGGTATGAGACAAGAACTTTCAAAAGTCATACAATAAAATCCCTATCGTGTGGAAACAGCAATTTGGCCCAACAAGTCCACACCGCCCTCCAAGAACATCCCACTCAGACCCATTCCCCTGTCTAACCCACCTAACCTAAATATCCCTGGGCACAATGGGCAATTTTAGCTTGGCCAATCCACCTACCCTGCACATCTTTGGACGGTGAGAAGAAACCAGAGCACCTGGAGGAAACCCACGCAGACATGGGGAGAATGTGCAAACTTCACACAGACAGTCGCCCAAGGCTGGAATCGCACCTGGGTCCCTGGCGCTCTGAAGTGCTAACCACTGTGCCACCCATTGGTAGTGGAGTGTTCACAGGTAAAGGGATGTCTGACAAGTGGAAGGCTTTCACAAGTGTCATGTGAAAGTTCAGAGTTTATATGATCATTTTAGAGTAAAAGGTAAGGCTGGTAGGATAAAGGAACAATGGATTAATAAAGATATTGAGGTTCTCGTTGGGAATACAAAAGAAATCGTATTAGATAGAGACAACTGTGTTCAAATGAGTACAGAGACAGGAGATAAAAAAAATGACCTTTTCATCGGTAATATGGCAGGGCTAGTTACTGATGTGATAGTGAGGGACCACTGTGGTTTTCGGGGCATTCTGAAGAGATCAGGAAAGCAAAGAGGGGATTCAAGAACGCTTTGGTGTTAAGATTTAGGATAATCCAAAGAGATACTACAAGATCATTAAAAGCAAGCGAGTGATTAGAGAGAAAGAGTTGAGCTCTTAATACAAAGGCTACCTATTTGAGTTTTGAAACTCAGAAGACAGGAGGAAATGCAAACAAATATTTCACAAATAAAATTGTTGGGGGAGAGAAATAGAAGCTAGAGAACTTAGGAAATAAATATTGATATTTTGAAAACAGTTCATATTACAGAAGAGGAAGCGTTGGAGGTCTTAGAAAGCATAGAGTTGACTAAATGTCCAGAATCTGATATACTGTATTGAGGATATTGTAGGAAGTTAAGGAGGAAATTGCAGAAACCCTTGCAGTAATGTTTGTATCGTCTATAACTATGATGAGGTGCAGCATGACTGGACGTAGGCTAATGTGCCTTTATTTTCAAGAAGGGATGTAAGGAGAAGCTTAGTAAGTATAGGCCTGTGAGTTTGAATTATGTGGTGGGTACATTGTTGGAGGTGATTCCAAAAGATAAAATTCATACGTATGGGGTAGGTGGGGGTTTTCAAAGAATGGTTAGGGATAGTCAGCATGGTTTTGAGTGAGGGAAATTAAAAAATTCAATCAATTTTGAGATATGAGGTAGTAACCAAAATGATTGAGAGCAGAGTGGTAGACTTTATTTATTTGGACTTTAGTGAAGTGTAGGGGTGACCTGCATACAACAAAGCGGCCCCTATTTGAACAAAGACACACAAGGACTATACAAAATGGGACGGTCTGCTCTAACATTTAAAGTGAAACATACTAATACCTTGGAAGAGATCTGCCCAAGGTCGTAGAAAGGCCCTGCAACCCATCATCTGAGACAACGAGGTGTAGAGCTGGATGAACACAGCAGGCCAAGCAGCATCAAATCAGTTTTGATAAGAGGATGCCTAAGAACGGACAAATGACTCCAGTCTCATCAATGAAAGGATGTTGCTCCACTAGAGACATAGCACCAGGGGTCTAAATCTTAGCTTAGACTAACTCCCTATACAGCTACAAAACAGAACAACAGCTAAAGGTATTTCATAGCAGTTAGCATTTTAAACTATAGTATTAGGAAAAAGAGGTTCTATTTAAAGAATTATTTTGATAATCACAAAAGTAGGTTTCAACATATAAACAGAATATAATACAAGCAGTTGAGGAAAACACATTTAAACCCATGTGAAAGTGAATCAGCTTTAGGACAGGCCTTATCTTACATCCAAAACAAGATAGATTGATCCAATTCATTAGTGACAAAGTGCTGGCAGTAAAAGTAGCTGTAGAACTTTACACTTTAATTACTGTTATAAGATTAGAACTTATCATGTAGCTGTTACTTAAAACTAACTGCCATATACATATCAGGATGGTGGGAAATATCAAATTTAATCAATCCTTTTAGAAAGGGGTCATACATAATACCACGAATAATAGGATTCAAACAGCTCTTAGAGATAAAGTCTGGGACAGACCAGGAGTATAGCTAATAACTTATAGAATGTGAATTAGTAGGATGCATAGAAAGATCCCCAAGGCCCAGTGATGACAATGTCTAGTAAACACCATGAGATAATGAGAACCTAGCCTGTTCCTATGACCATGACTGATTCGGTGTCCCAGGGGGTTGGGTGTTTGGATTAAGGTGAAGGACAGTGATTACTTTGCATTTGATTATTGTAACACGTAGTGTAAAATCAAAATGTGTCATTGATCTCTCTTCCAATCTGAGCTGTAGATTAAGGGAAATATGCTTTCTCACATCGAGAACAGATTTGTGGAAGACCCTTTGGCCGTCTCCCTGCATTAACTGGTTTCTTCTTGAATAAACATCTTCCACTTGCCTGAATCCTGTCTGCATCCTGAGTATTTGTTTCTCGCCAGGGTTTGGAGGGGGAAGCGTGGGAATGAGGAGGGTAAGCTCCTACACAAAGTCTTTGACAATGTTCTTCATGGCAGACGAAATAATAGGGTAAGATTACATGATATTTGTGGGGAGGCTGGAAGTTGGATTCAAAACTGGCTTGATGGTAGGAGACGGAGACGGCTTGGCAGTTGCTTTCTGGACCGGAGGCCTCTTACGAGTGGTGTTCCACTCCAACTGGTGTTGGGTCCACTTTTGTTTATCATTTATATAAATGATTTAGATGAGAATTTAGAAGGCATGGGTAGTAATTTTGAAGATGTTACCAAAATTAGTGGCATATTGAACAGTGAAGATGGTTATCTAAGATTACAAAGAGATCCTGATCAATTGGGTCAATGGCTTGAGGACGGGCAGATGGATTTACTGAGGCATTGCATTTTTGAAAAACAGAGCGGCAGGGCTTGTACAGATACAAGTAGAGCCTTGGATAGTGTTGTAGAACAGAGAGAACTAATGGATCAAGTGTATAGTTCTTTGAAGTTTGCATTAGCTGTAGACCACGAGGCACCTGGCTTCATTACTCACTCCTTTTGAGACTTTTACTGAAGCACTATATCAGATTCTGGTCACCCTGTTAGGGAAGGATATTATTGCTCTGGAGGAGATTCCGAAAAGATATACCAGGATGTTGAGATAACACAATGTGGAGCTCGAGGAACACAACAGGCCAGGCAGCAGAGAAGCAGGAAAGTTGACTTTTTCAGAAAAAGGGTCCTGACCCGAAAAGTCAACTTTTCGGCTGCCTGGCCTACTTTGCTACTCCTGCTCCACACTGTGTTATCTCATACTTACTAATTGATGCATTGGGTCATTTTAGCTCTTCTCAACTGTAGTTACAGGAAATATGAAACTGGTTGTAAGCGCGGCACTGAGATGCATTTATACGACGATGATTAAAGTCACAGGCAGTTATATAGCAATAACAAACAATGCAATCCGAACGCTATTACAATTGCGATTCATTATAAATTCGTGATAAACGTTTAACTCTCCATGCGGTTCAGCTGTTCCGTGAACGTGACTGACTGCAGCTTGTTAGTAAAGATTTCAAGTTAAATCATACACACAGTGACAGTAAGAGTATCAAATAGCAAAGGGACTGAACGGACATCAAACAATTAATGCACAAAAAGACATTCCGACAGCGGGGATGGTCTGGCTTCTTTTCACTGATGTTGTGGGTGGCTCTTAAAAGAGCCTTTGGGTTGTCAGATGAAATAATGGTCTCTTCACTTTTTAGTGGCGCCCCCAGCTGCGGTTTTCTTGGGTAGCAGCACGGCCTGAATATTAGGCAGCACCCCGCCCTGAGCGATGGTCACCCCTCCCAGCAGCTTGTTGAGCTCCTCGTCGTTGCGCACGGCCAGCTGGAGGTGCCTGGGGATGATGCGGGTCTTCTTGTTGTCCCGGGCGGCGTTACCAGCCAGCTCGAGGATTTCAGCCGTCAAATACTCGAGCACCGCAGCCAGATAGACCGGCGCTCCAGCACCCACACGCTCAGCATAATTACCCTTTCTCAGGAGCCTGTGAACACGGCCCACCGGGAACTGCAGGCCAGCCCGGGACGACCGAGACTTCGCCTTGGAGCGAGCTTTCCCACCAACACCCTTTCCTCTCCCAGACATGACCACAATCTCTCAAACACTTCCACAGAGAATACTGCAACCAGCCCACATTCCGACCACTTATACCTTCGGGAGGAATGGTGGTGCGGCCATTGATGATTGGCCACATTTTTCAGCATCTCCTAATATCGTTGCAATTCCCAATCAGATATCTGCTTCATTCACCAATCCGGAGAGGGCCCGGGGAGGAGGCCGGAAAATACCGGCGCCAAATCATCAACCGCTTTCTTTCCGATTTGAAAAGCCCGCCAATATGTACCAAAAAGTAGGAAGTTTAACACAATAGAATGCACGAATACTCGAGTTAGTTTACTCTTAGATTCTGAATGTACACTTTATTTCATCTCCCTTTCCCTCACCTCCTTGAATATCTCAATTTCTGACCTAGAATCGGATTTTCTGAACATTAAATGCAAGCGGAAACAAAAAAGCGCCAAAATCTGCACTCTGCAACTAATTTCAAAAACACCCGATAAGTTGATAAAACATTCGATAACGTTCTTCCAGGTGAGCGCATTAATTGCGGACACCGTTTTTCTAGAATATTTAAAAGCGGCCCTCCCTTATTGCACTCGATCAAAGTTCAGCAAAAGCTCCACATTTACTATGCCAGTCCGGCAGCTGTTCTGGTTTTATCTCGGCTCATTTTGGAAGTATCTCCCTACAGCAAAAAGCCTCAGCAACCTGACAAAACCCGCGAGGAGATCTGGAAATAAAACAAAAGGGTAAAAACGGAACTCAGAGGAAAAGTATATTTTCTTGCTTGCCCTTTTGCATACCGCACCGGGTCTTGTAGCTTCTGAATCGATTGCGTGACAGAGGGTAACAAGATCACACAGAAATTGCTCAAAATAGCTCATTGGTGTTTAACATGATCCCTGTCCACAGGCAGCGATTACAGGTGTGTATGAACACATCCGAGAACAAGCACGCACAGGGTCAGGGATAACTTGTTAATTTACAGAAGATTTATACAAATGTATAGTTCAGCTGTTTCAGGGAAGTTGTGGGTGGCTCTTTAAAGAGCCGTTGGGTTTTGGTTGTGTTTTTTTCAGTACACTGTGGTGTCTCACTTGGAACTGGTGTACTTGGTCACCGCCTTTGTACCCTCCGACACGGCGTGCTTGGCCAACTCCCCTGGCAGCAGCAGCCGCACGGCGGTCTGGATCTCCCGGGAGCTGATGGTGCTGCGCTTGTTGTAATGGGCCAGGCAGGAAGCTTCCCCCGCGATGCGCTCGAAAATATCGTTGACGAATGAGTTCATGATGCTCATAGCCTTGGAGGAGATGCCGGTGTCGGGGTGAACCTGCTTCATCACTTTGTAGATGTAGATGGAGTAACTTTCTTTCCTGGATCTTCTCTTCTTGCCGCTTTTCGCTGGCGCCCGCTTCACCACTTTCTTAGCGCCCTTCTTGGCAACTTATCCTTTCTTTTCCTCTACCATTGCGACAGTCAATGTCCAAAAACAGAACAAAAGAAAGCAGGCTCAGAGCTCGCTTTTTATAGCCTGATGGCGTCAGCAATGCTAATGAAGGATGGGAGAAAGCCTTGTTCCTGAATGGGTAGTTTACAAGAATGTTAAAACATGGCATTAGCCTTTCTGTGATTGGTTAGTGTGGGACACAACGTTGATCTGCCAGGATCTGCAATGAAATTTCAAACGCAAATCGAAATTTTGTACACGGATCAAACTCCGAGCTTTCTCTAAATCGTGAGATCCTAATCGCGATTTATTCTCCATCTTTTGTTAATGGTTTTCTTTTCTCCTCCGTTTAAAAATGTCATCACGTTAGTTGTCAAGTGACAAAACGCACTGAAATCTGACAGTGGTGTGTTTCACTCCTGGAAATGATGGAACTACTGACAATTGCATCGTGCTTGATGAACATGGGAGTTAGGGAATGTTCTCTCTTGCTTGTGTTTCTTGTTCTACACGCTCTGAAGTTTAAGGACATTATACCAGCATCTGCTCCGTCAACACCCTTCAGTTTTCGTTTCCTCGAAAGGTTTGACGTCCTTCTTCAAATCTCCAATGAGTATAGGCCCAAACTATTCATACTTTCCTCAGAATACCTGCCAGCGTGTGTCCGTATCAGTTTTACTCGGATTACCTCGATGACAAAAGAGAACTGATGTACTGTGACCCGTGCCTTTCGCTTTCTGCTGATTAGACAAATTTTACTCTCTATCCCTTAGGCTCTTCAATCAGTGTCAGCAGCTTTCTGCCGACATTTCAGTTCCTGGAATCTTGCTTTGCACTTAATTAGTGTGGATGTTATTTTGTGCACTTCAGTTTCCAGCAATAATTGTTTTTCATGGAATTTCTCTGAACTTTATTTGTCAACACGTCAGTTGTATTCACACTGATTATTGTCATTTAAGAATAATTTGAACACAGTACCTTTCGCAAATTTTAATTGTGACAATCTCTTGTGTGTAGATGTGTTTTTTGTTTGATCACTATCAATGAGTCCCTGATTACAGTGTGAATGATATTGTGTTGTTCAGAATTTCAGGTTGACTAAGGGTTAGTTTTATTTCTCATTATTGGCTGTGTAAAAATGGGAGTGCAGTTATCGATCTGCCATTTCAGCTTCCACTAGGTGAATGATTATTACTCCCTCACAATCTGTCCATCAGTTTCTGCTGACCGAATGTGAGTGTGTAGTAATCAATCTGTACCAATCAGTTCCTCCAGTGATTGTGCTTGTGTAATTATCAGTCTATCCCCGAAGCTCTCTCCTGTGTGAATGTGTAATTGTAGTTATCAATCTGTCGCTGTCAGGTCTTTGTTATGTACGTGTGTGCGTGTATTTACCAATTTCTGCTGTGAATGAGAGTTTAGTTATCCATATGTTTATGTTCATTTCACAGCCTCTCTCTGTTTCTGCATTGGGAATATGGAAATGTATTTATTATCTGCACCTGTCCATTTCTATCACGTGAAAATGTAATTGTTGTCATTAATGTGTTCCTGTCAGTTAGTGCAATTCAAGAGTGTGACTGTCGTTATTAGGCTGGCACTCTTCGTTTCTGTTATGTCCAGATTGATCTGGACCTGTCAATTTCTGCTCGGTGCATATGTGCGTGTCAATACATGCCTGTCAGTTTCTTGTCTGAACATGTGAATGTAGTTATCAAAACTGTACCTGTCAGTTAATTTGCTGTGAAATTGGGTGTGTAATTATCAATTTGCTCTTATCAATTTCTGCATTGTGAATATGAGTGTGCTTATTCATCTTTCTAGGACAGTTATTGTTCTGTGAATGTGTAAGCGTATTTACTAATCTGTGCCTACCAGTTTCTGAAATTTGAATGTGATTTATTTATCAATCTGTACCAGTCAGTTTTTATTTTAGCACCTTCAGTCTCGACCTGACAGGTTCTGCTATTTCAACATTTGAGTTCAGTTACTGATCTGTAAAGCCAGTTTCTACTAGGTGAATGTTTCAGCACAGTTATTCATTTGTACCTCATACTTTCTGATATGTGTAATTGTAGTTATTAACCTGTTTTTGTTGGTAAGTGCAATGTGAATGAGAATGTAGTTATTTGGCAGTTTCTGTCATGTGAACATCTGAGTGTCATGAATCTATCCATCACTATTACCACAATATTAGTGGTGTGACTAGTTATCAACATGTCCCTGTCAGTTTCTGCTGTGAGAAGATATGACTGTAGTTATCCATCTAGCCTGTCAGTTTCTGCAATGTCAATTTGTATGTTTAGTTATGGATTTATATCTGTCATTTTCTGCTCAGAGTGTGTGTGAGAGTGTGCATGAGAGAGTGTGCATGTGTAGTTATCAATATGCAGCTGTCAGATTCTGCACTGTTGATATGCATGCAGTTATTAATCTGTACCTGTCAGTTCATCCTGTGTGACACTGGGAGGGTTATTACCAAGCTGTTCCTGTCAGTTTCTGCTGTATGGATATGTGAAGTTAGTAATCAATATGTAACTGTGAGAATCTGCTTGTGAAAATTGGAGTGTAGTTATCATACTGCACCTGACAGTTTTGTTTAAAATCTGTGGATATTTGAATGCAGTTATAAAATCGGACCTGTCAGGTTATGCTGTGAATATGGGAGTGTTATTATCAATCTGTTCTTCTGTGTTTCTATGATATGGATATGTCAGGTCCTGTTCGTTTGATATGTGAGCATATTTATTAATGTGTACATATTCCTTTTTATAATGTGAATTTGTGAATGTTTTTAGCAAACTTTAATTTTGCTATGTCAATATGTGAGTATCATCATCAATCTGTTTTTGCCTGTTTCTGCAATGTGAATGAATGAGCAGAGCTATCAATACATGCCTGTCAGTTTCGATTTGATAATGTGGCTTAACTCTCTGGCAGCCAGTAATATTCTCAGTGAGAATGTGATTTGTAATGTGGTAGTTGTTATTAGGGTGATTTAATGCAGCTTTGATTCAGTTCCTGAGTGTATGTTTGGAACAAGTATTCAGTCCATCCATCTTCAAAAATGGTGTAAATGTCAATGGGCTATGAATGCTGAAATGTGACATTGACTTGCTCACCGAGCTGGCTTGTTTTTGTTCACACATTGCATCACCATGCCAGGTGATATCATCAGTGGAGCCTTCGATGAAGCGATGTTGTTCTACTCCGCATGGAATTTATACTGTCTGGTCCATAATGGTGAGTATTGTCATTTCAGTTTTGATCTGTATGGGTTTATATATGGGGTCCAAGTCTATATGTTTGTGTGGAGAACCATGCCTCTAGGAATTTCTGTGCGTGTCTATGTTTGGCTTGGGCTACTATGGTTACTTTGTCCAACAAAAACAAAGTTGCTGGAAAAGCTCAGCTGGTCTGGCAGAATCTGTAAGGAAAAAACAGAGTTAACCTTTCGGGTCCAGTGACCCTTCCTCAGAACCAGTTACTGATGAGCTTTTCCAGCAACTTTGTTTTTGTTCCTGATTTACAGCATCCACAGTTCTTTCAGTTTTTATATGGTTACTTTGTCCCATTTCAACTGATACATTCAGACAATGAAGGCCATCAGGTTAACTGGGACAAAGTAACCATAGTAGCCCAAGCCAAACATAGACACACATGGGAATTCCTAGAGGCATGGTTTTCCATCCATACTTCAATCAACAAACATACAGAATCAGACCCCATATATAAACTCATACAGATCAAAACTGAAATGACAATACTCACCATTATGGACCAGATGGTATAAATTCCACGAGGAGTAGAACACATCACTTCATCAGAGGCTCCACTGATGATGTCACCGAGCATGGTGATAAAAACATCTGAACAAAAACAAGCCAGCTCAGCGAGCAAGTCAGCAACATTATCCACTACCCGAGCTGCAGATCTTTGCCAAACTTTAAATGCTGAAATTTGTTCAAACTAGGCAGGTGTGCATTGTGAATGGTGAAAAAAAAAAACTTGTATTTCCTCTGTGTTGTTTGAGCATATCTTGCTGGAAATTGACTTCAATGTATGTCTGACTCAATCTGCTCTGTGCCTGTGGGAAGGATGTTCTCTGCTCTGACAGAGGTAAAATACCTTCTGTTTGTTAGAAGCAGCTGGCTTTGGACCGAGGGAAATATCACTTTCTCTTAGTCCTTCAAGTATTTGCCTGGAGAAAGACAGAAGAAAAACCTCCTGTAAATCAACATCAGCCAAGTTTGATAATATTTAATTGATCAATGCAATGTTTAGTTAATAATCATTACAATATTTTATTTCAAGCCAGGAATTTGAACAGAATTGTGTGTCTGATGCCACTCTTGCTCTGAGCTGCTCCCTGTCTGGTGATTTTTCTTTTTGTCAATTCCATACCAATTGAGTGAAGTCCAGAAACTAACCAACAGGTGTACAGTTCCATGAATGGGGCTACCCAATGCAAGTGGGTCTGTGAATGTGAGTTTAGTTGTTGATCTATTCATGTCAGTTCCTACTTGGTGAATGATAACTACACGCATACAATCTAAGCCTTTGTTAAATTACTTACGTATTCACACAGCAGAGACTGACAGGGACAGATTGATATAGAACCATACATCCATTGAAATGATATAGCACTGAAGAGGGCTGTTTGGCCTATCTTGTCCATTCCAACCCAAAGACAAACAGATGGCTATTCTAATCCCACCTTCCTACACACAGCCCACAGCCCCACAGATTAAAGCACTGTCAGTTTCTGTAATGTCAATGTATTGATCAATTTGTCATCTTAGTCTCCGTTTTGTGGATATGTAAATATAGTTATCAATTTGTACCAGCCAACTTTTTCTGTATGAATATTTGAATGTAGTTATCCATCTCTA